TCAAAAAAAAAAAAAAAAAAGAAAAGAAAAAGCAGTTTCTCAGCGGTGGTTCACATCTATAATCCCTGCACTTTGGTAGGCCAAGGCAGGTGAATCACTTGAGGTCAGGAGTTCAAGACAAGGCTGGTCAACATGTTGAAACCCCATCTCTACTAAAAATACAAAAATTAGCCACACATGGTGGTACATGCCTGTAATCCCAGCTACTTGGGAGGATGAGGCAGGAGTATTGCTTGAGGCTGGGAGACAGAGGTCGCAGTAAGCTGAGATCAAGCCACTGCACTCCAGTCTGGGTGAGAGAGCAAGACTCCGTCTCAAAGGATAAAAAAAAAAGAAAATATACTGAAGCAAAAAGGCCAATAAAGAAAAACAAAATTAAAGAGAGAAGGAAGCAAAGTATTAAGAGGGGTACTTACGGGATTGGGATTCCCTTGGAAAGTCACTTAGTTCATTGTTTTTATTTTTTTAATAAGAATGAGAAAAAGGCTAGGAACAGTGGCTCCAGACTATAATCCCAACACTTTGGGAGTCCGAGGCAGGAGGATCACTTGAACCCAGGAGTTTGAGGCTGGCCTCTGCAACATAGCCAGACCCTGTCTCTATTTAATTATTTTAATGAGGGAAAAATGAAAATTTAAAGAGAAATCAGATTTGCTGAACTCTTTCTCCATCTCTTCCCTGTTTTCAGTTGGCCTGGTTATGTGCTGAGTTTTACCTTGAGTGGACCCAGGGTAGGGACCAGCCTAGCTTTGCCTCAGGCAGCTCCTCCTTCCTTTTCTCTGCCCTCTGTTTTCCTAACTAGGCGGGAAATGCAGTTTCCTATCTTGCAGACAGAAGCTAGTCTGCCCTATCCCCCTACCCCCAAGACCCTAGTGTGTGATCTTCCCCTCCCTGTGTCTGTGTGTTCTCATCGTTGAACATCCACTTATGAGAACATGCAGTGTTTGGTTTTCTATTCTTGTGTCACTTTGCTGAAAATGATGGTTTCCAGTTTCATTCACGTCCCTGCAAAGGACTCGAACGCATCCTTTTTTTTATGGCTGCATAGTATTCCATGGTGTACCTGTGCCACATTTTAGGGATAGCATTAGGAGAAATACCTAATTTAGATGACGGGGCGATCGATGCAACAAACCACCACCATGGCACATGTAAACCTATTTAACAAACCTGCATGATCTGCACGTGTACCCCAGAACTTAAAGTATAATAAACAAACAAACAAACAAAAAAAAAAACCCAACCAAACAAAAGGAAGCCTGTCTGTGCAGAGGCAGAACTGTAGGAGTGCCCTGTAGCACGAAAGGGAGAGAATGTCCTAGATGAGAGCACCCCAGATGACAGCAAAGATTCCCAGCTTCAGAAATGAGCCAGGAGAGGACTGTCAGCAGAAGTAGAAGCACAGGGCTTGTGTTGAGAGGGAGGGAAATTGTCTGGAAGGAGTCTTAGGGGCCTGCTCTTGATCTCTACTTGCACCCTGAGGGAAGATCCTGTGTGAGCTATGTGGCATAGATTTGGTTGTTTGGGATATTGTGCCTTCATTCCAGTAAATCCATTTATTCATCCTAAAAGAATGACGTCCCTGGGACAAGACCCTTATTCCAAGAGCTGGTCCTGTTTCTGAAAGTCTGATTGGCTCATTCCCCCATTCTTCTTTACCGTTCCCCAACCCCCCCCCCCCCCGGCCCCC